GAGTTATAGTTATCCCACTTCTGACTCTTGTCTGAAGATATCATACAACTGGTATAATTTCGCAGTAGATACTAGATTACAGAGCCAGCTTGTGCAAAATATTGTTATTACCGTCATATTGTGATCGCCATTCGAATTGGAATCAACTATCCAGACGTATAGTTCTATCAACTTGTGATATTTTTACTGATATAATCGTCGATGCTAACTCTACGTGGTATGTTTAATTTTCTTTTCTCTTAAAATAATTTCCGCACTAGGAATATGTCCCATGTCGCGGGGCAAATTATTAACATTAATGAAAGGGACACAAAGATAACTCAGACTTTTAACAACAATTTGATGATCTCATAAAGTGTGGTCCCATGTGGTGATCGAACCTATAACACTCGGTGCAGTAGAAAGCGGCGAGGTGACCTGATTAAACCACTACGCTATCCGTGTAGTCGAATTTAGACATGAAAACGTCTTTGTTCACAGCGTAATTTTCTACTAAAAACACGATGATTTTACTAAAATCTTTTGATAACTTTTTACCAACTGATTTAGTATTAAAATAGTCATTTAGTTTGATTTTGAATATCTGGTTTACTAGCTTTGTAAAAAATCCTGTTACACTTAATAATAAGTAATAATAAGAATTATAGAGGATGTTTTCGTATTTTTACATCTTTGTGAGTTCTGCTAAATTTACTTTCGTGCTGTCTACAGTCCTTGCTAACCTATGTAAGAAAAAAATAATAAAAAAATAAAAGAAATAATTTGGGGTTCTTGTGTTAAACTTTTTAACTAAATATCGATTTAACTATTCTAAATAGATGATGGTTTTACAACAACAGAAACTTGGATAAACGCAGAAGTAATCAATATTTACAGATTTTAACATATTAGAACATTCTCAAATTTGTAATTTTTGAAAAATTATCACCTGTAACTATATTTGTGAAATGACATTATTTTATTTGACGGTCCATTAATTACAAGAGATATAGGGAAGGAAATAAACTAAATACATAATGCATTTACGAATATCTTTGAGTGAGAGAATATTTATACAGTGTTGTGCCCCAGACGACACAAACTAAAGTAATAGTAAAATTTATCTTCGCATTTACGCCTCAATAAATCCTGTTCAGGAAACAAACAATTGGGTGGCTATGAATACTAAAAAAGGAGAATTATTACCATATTATGTGTTTACAAAATAAACTAGGAGAGGAAGAAACTTATGAGTTTCCTGAATAGGATTTTAAGTAGTTATTATTTTTTGTCTTGTCACAAAATTCACATTCACTCACAAAATTGCAGCCAGAGTTTAAATTCAGACATTGATGGTTCGATTCCCATACACGACAAATAATTATAAGATTAATTAATTGTTTTTTGTCTGGGTGTAATTTATCTATAACATGTATGTATTTAGGTATGTATTTATCAGCAGTCTACCAGAGTACAGCTTTTGCCTAGCTTGAAATCAGAAGGCCGTATTTAAAATATTTCAAATTTGAATATCTTAAAACTTAACTGTTAAGGTGATTACGACAAATTCAAATATTTAAAACTTTGAACCATTTTTATTTATGTAATAACAATTAATTCTGTTCCTAGATCTTTTTGTATTTGTACAGTGATGTCGTTGATATTTAAGAAGTGTTGTTTAATTATTTATTTATTTATTGGTTCGCCTACAGCTATTGCACATTTTCTTAAAACTATTACATGGTCTTATTAAATACAATACAATTTATGTAGATTTCTATATATTTAAAGAAATTGGCAAGATCCCCCAACTTTATTAGAATGCTTCCCTAAAACTATTTTTTCTGATCTGATCCTGTACCTTGTAGAGACCCTTGAGATTGGTTATATTATGGCAATCACATTTATGACTTTTACGACGTATTCATGACAAAAATATTGTAACACGCTAAAGGCATCCATCCAATTATACTGCTTGTTGTCATGGTGACCACTAATTGAAGAGTGTCAGGAACAGCACGTTAATTAAATTTAATTTCACAATTCAAATATTCATACAAGCCTTGAAAATTTAAAAATAATTTACTACACCATTTCGCTAATTCCAAGAATGTTCCAAGTTCAAAAAAATATAATCCCTATCTAACCTTGGTTACCTAATCGACTCAATTCCAATACCGATTCCGATACTCATTTCGGAGTCTACACTAGCACCAATATCAAAAATTTGTTCTCTTTCTTATTCACATAAAAAGGGTTGCCTAAAAGAATAAAATGTTTATAGGCTCCTCTGGAATTATTCGATACGCCCTACTATTTGTGATAGCGCTCATTACCGATGTGCATGCTTAACAACGGAAATCTACATAACAGCTAGCGACACTCATGGATGTAATGTTATGTAAAAATAACTTGGAAGACTTGTTTGTAAGGTTTTATTAGATTTTTACTTGGGTTATGTCAGCGGCTGGCTATTTAATATTCGTTAAGAATGAATGAAGAATTCTGAAATATAAAATACTGTGTCAAATGATGTGGCGTATGTAAATATAGAAACAAGTGGTAGGCTTTTGTCTTCCCCGTAACGCGGAGCGAGTGTAAGTACGTATGTGTATTAGGATAAACACTTTTGTGAGTGGTGCTCATGTCAATACAATATGAAAAGTTTTGTTCACGTATATATTTCTGGGATACTTGTGTAGTTTCGGTTCCGATGGGACACTGTTACCAATTGGTAAAGCTACCTTCTTCTTCTGTGTCAGGCGAAATAAAGTGCCTGACACCGACGAGAAAGATGATTAAATCCGCAAGTTAGGTAATGGTAGTGGACTCTGATTTCCACATTAACACTCAAAAACGATCAAAGATTGACTAGATGAACTAACCCCGCCCCTTCCAGAAGCACAGAAACCTCATAGGGCGTTCACAGGCGTTTACCCTTCATAAATACTTATGTATATTCGAAACACATTTCTCTTTAACTAAAACAGTATGTCAAAATATACGCAAGGTAAATCACATTGCCTAGTTAACTATCACCCTGGTGTCTTCGAAAAGCCTTTTAATTTCCAGGTGACCCTAGAAACTGTTGCCATTAGCATAGGCGTAATTAATTGCCATGTTGGTATCCTGTCTAGAGGTCGAGTGTAGCAAACTAATGGCATTAGGTTGGATATATTGATTAACATGGTCGCGTAAAATGTAAGCAAAGTATATTACTACTATTTTAGTCAAAGTAAAAGCTTGCATTATCAACTATATTTATCATACTATATTAAGTTGCTTTTAACTACCAGCTGGTTTCGCGTTTATGTCGACTTTATGACATATTTAAAAAGGGGCACAAAAATGTTTTTCGTGTATTGATATATAAATTATTATTCATAAATTTTATCTTTTGTTTGAAACATGTTTCTGAAAAATTTCATTGGCGCTGATGATTTTTTTTTAATGTCACTAAAACGTTGTAAATACAATAGGAAACTTAAAAAAAAACTACTTCTGACCTTCCAATTTCATTAATATGCTTGCCAGTTTCGTTTTCTGCTGCATTTGGTTACTTGAAAGTTATTTGCTCTACGAATAACTTTAAATTAAAACTTTAAATTAGATTAGTTCTGTTATGATACTATATAAGTGAACATCGTTTTCGTAAAATATATAATTGAAGTATCACTAATACACAGAACGTTTAATTTTGTCGTCCAGAACATTCTACAAGAATTATTAGGATACTATGAGAATGATTAACCGTGAGAACTTTAAAGAATTATCAATTTAACATGTCTCATAAGAGTGGATCTGGTAACAGACTACAAAATTTGAAATATAAGCATGTCAACTTTGCCTCCAAGGCCTTCAAATGAGACATACTGAGGTACAGTCGAATCACATCAGAATGATGAGAACCTAGGTAGTCTCTCTCACGGGTCCCATTTTAATCTCTTAGATTTTTAGGAGATATTCTAAGTAACTAAACCATTCCTTCTACCCCTGCGTCATACTAGCACAGTTATTAATTTAGTAAATATATAAATAACAATTGTTTTTAAAAGTTATATTGTATTTGCAAAACTCTACTACAGCGGACTTTGGAAACAAATATTAAGAAAAGTGTAAAAGTAATTTGTTTTTTATATACACCTTGAATTTTTATCGTTAGAGTCAATTTCGACTGTGACAGATACATTTTTAAAGACCTATTTCATATGAAAATAATGTATTCTCAAACTGGAATTATAAATCACTATACTGTTTTGTAAATCACACACATTATAATAAAATCAATTAACTTCTACAAAATATAATGCTATTGTTGTTTTATCAACATCAAATTTTGGTAGCTCAACAAATGACTCTTGTTTAATTGATATTTTGAGAGTTGGCAGAGCTAAAGTTTTTAATGAAATGCTAATCGCGTTCATATCGTAGTTATGCTAATGACTGCTGAGTCGTAACGATTTAGAGAAATACACTAAACTTACATTCATTATAGTTTTTTGAATAAACGGCGATGAGAAATCTTATCTATAATATTCCTTTTTTGCGTAAACCTTGAACGAGTACAGTTATTCTATTTTTATAACGAATTCTTCACAAAAACCAGATGTTTTTATGTGCAAAACATCACGGTTCGGACTTGTATAAGAGTCCATCATTTTTACTATCTCCTGCAATATGTACCAGAAATGAAAAATAATATCAAGACTACCTTTATGACGTTCGCAACTCATGGAGATTGTGCAAGACTTTGTTTTACAGCATCACTTGCTATCGTCCGTGTCGAGAATTTATGGAATTTACGATCGTACCCTTGACCGAAATTACTCGATACAAAAAGCTTTAAAACCAGTTTAACGAGAACCACCTGTTACTAAAATACAATATGATTTCGGAATATTATACCTGAAAATTGAATTGTATGTGACGTTTTAGCAATTATTTGAGTATTTAAGTTTGACTAAGGCGTATATTTTCTTGTTTCAGGCAGTCCGTCGCTGTAAATACAAATTCGAAATGAGATGAGTATGCGCGTGGCGTGGGCCAGGTGGTACTGGATCGTAATACTGACGACGTGCGCCGCGAGGACCGCCAGTGACTGGCTTGATTGTGCTCAAATCGCCACTTGTCGCTGCAAATGGTCTTCTGGGAAGAAAACTGCATCGTGTGCCTCCAGTGACCTACGCCGCCCACCAGCTCTCTCATCCGATATACAAGTCCTTGATCTACATGATAATCCACTGAGAAACCTTCCACAAGAAGTTTTTGCTAGCATAGGCCTACTCAATTTGCAGCGTCTAAATCTTCGGGCAACGAATTTGAGGTCAATACATGCCGATGCTTTTTTGGAACTAAGAATATTGATAGAAGTGGATTTAGGAGACAACGACTTATCCCATCTGCCGAGGGATATATTTCGAGGCAACGAAAGATTACGCCTGGTCGTTCTTAGCAACAATCCTCTGACAACGTTAATTGCAGATCAATTCCCGCCTTTACCACACCTGCGAATGCTGTTATTAGACGGCTGCAGATTAAGGTCGATACATACAAATGCTTTAAGAAATTTAAAGTCTCTAGAGACAATAGATTTACGTAGGAATCAGCTTACATTCCTTCGGTTGGTAACATTTTCTCTTCCGGCACTGAAAACGGTATCCTTATCCGGCAATCCATGGCGATGTGATTGTAGATTACGAGAATTCAAGGATTGGTTTTTGGATAGCAAATTAGGTACGGAAGAATTACTTTGTGTAGAACCTTCTACGCAAGCCGGAAATAAGTGGCGCCACGTGCCTAGTGAGAGTATGGCATGTCCTCCTGAAATTAAATCGAGCACTCTTATTGTAAGAGCAGAAGTAGGCTTGCCTACCACATTTGGATGCTGGGTTCATGGAGTGCCAAAGCCACAGGTGACTTGGCTTTTCGATGGTATTGATGTACATAATAGCACAGTCGATTGTGATATGGAAGAGGCCGACACAAGTGTCGAAGACGACTCTGAAGATAGAGTACCGGGTAGTGTTAGATGGGTGAACGTGACTTTGCTAAATGTGACATCCAGTGCAGCGGGTGAATGGACATGTGTAGCTAAAAGTATAGCGGGAGAAGCAAGGGCTATAATAAGTCTAGTTTTACCCAGATCGCAAACAGCAACAGCTCGAACGGCACCTGGAATTCCACATTTGTTAGGAGTTGTTTTTGGTGCGTTAGGAATATTAGCAACACTTGGCTTCATTGCTGCTGTAGCTTGCTGGCATTTGAGAAGAAGAAGTGTTCCACCTAGCAGGAGTTTTACAGATCAAGAAAAACGTTTGATTGACGCGTCAGTGGTCGTCAGTTGTGACCGATCAATTGGGGATATGGCCTCACCTTGTGACTTTGAACTGACTGAACGCATCTCAGAAGACCCATCCAGGGGATGTGGTTTTGAACCCGTGCATATAACCATAGAAGGTACTCCAGGGGCTTACCCGCCTCCACCTGCAGAATTTGCTGTACCTGTACCTTATGGAAATATTTTCATATCTGTCCAAGTAGCTGGCAGAGGAGATCCCGGTAAATATCCTGACCTTCTTAGCGGTGGTGCAACATTACCTAGGCGTAACCGAACGTGTTGTGCTGCTACTCCAGCTTATGATAATATGGGTCCCAGAGTAACAGCGACAGGTAGTTCCACTTGGTCATTACCAGGAGCTAGCACAGAGAATCTTGAAGTATCCGAAACACCAGTTCTAACCCTTCCCCCTCCGCCTCCTGAGTTTGTTTCCCTTTAGCCCAGGCCCCTGGTACTAGACGCCTCTACATTAAGGTGACCTGGTACCATCAATCTTACAGTCAATTAGACTATTTCCCAGTTTTATGGTAATTTATAATAATTTCAAAGTGATTAATAATTTTAATGTAAATAGTTAATGTTAAGATATGGACGATGTGACACATCCGTGAGATAAATACGTAAGATTGTTATCAATATTAATATTGTAATATTGCATTTAAAGTGAAGATGTTGATACGTTGGGTGTTGAAATGAAAGTGTTAGTCTACTTGATTTATTCCCTAGAAATTTCATTTGTGTATTTCGACTAAGCGTCTTCCTAAATGTTGGAATAGATGGACAGATTATTTGGTCATATTTGACTAAAATATATATAATATAATATTCAAAACGCTTTAGAAACTAAGCCTATCACAACTCATATATCAAATTAATTACTGCGATAATGATGAGTAAAGATTGAAGAAATGTCGATGATGCTCATTGAAACATGAGATAAAACGAATGTTATATTATGTTTTATAATTTATGTAAATACATGAAAGTAAAACGAGAGAATACATTCAGTAATTAGCAGCAATTAAGCAGCAAACTTGTTTCTGTCTATCTATTCCAACTGAAACTTTTGTAAATAGATATTATTTATTATACAAACTTCCCAAACATAAGACTGACCCTTTTTTCTTGTTTTTCACCTCTTTATAACTATAATAATAATGCATACTACACCACTTAGTCAAGGCGAATAGCTTCTAAATATTTTTTCTTTGAAAGCGAAAATATCTTATGTAAAGGAAAATAAACCGATCACGTAAAATGATGTCGTTTTATTGGTGTTGGCTTTATCGTAACCGTTCTTTTTATGATCTATTATGTGGGTAAATGTATGTTTTAGTCGGGTGATATTATTTGCCTGTTATTTTCTGTCAATCTATTATATTATCAGGATTGAAACGTAGTGTTTTCATCATTTTTGTTAGTTTTGGGCCATTTATTTCTCTGATGTATATATGTTAAGTATTTGAGATTTTTATTAGGTGAGATTTTTTTTAATATATTGAGATGACTAGAGAAAAGGAATTTTGCTTTTGCAAAAAAGCAATTTAGAAGTATTTTCGAAACATGGTTTGATCAATTAGTGCTTGCGTCCGTATCAAGGTCAGAGAAGTTCAAAATGAACTGTTTGTGTTTGCTTTACTGTTAGGGACTCAAACAATGTTTATGCTTTATAATTTTAGGGTTCCGTTCTTCAAAAGAAAAAAAAGATATACATTCCTTCTCTCCGTCTATTTTGTTGACCTAAAATAAAAAAAAAATAGGCGAGAAGCAAAGTTTTATGGTGTTAGTAGAGTAAGAAAGGGTTTTTTTTTTTAATCAACCGTTAAAATTAGGGCACAGCTTCTACTAATGTTTAGATGTTATAGATACTTACATGCACCCTAAATACGTTTCATTTCTTTTAGGATAGTCGTGTAAGCATCTTCAAATCTTCGTGTATCCAATACCGAAATGGACGGAATATTTACACATAATTAGGTTTGTTTAGAGAATCCACACGCAAGTCAGATTCGCAGTTTTCCGGATTTTTTTACACGCTTGAAATATAGACATATGCCTTATTTATGCATTTGAAATCATCAGAAATGACGAATCGTCTGATGGTCAGTGACCATCGCTACCCATGGGGACCTAGGTACAACTCAAGAAACACATTGTATATTGCCGCCCTGTGAATGTAATAATCGCATCTTTCAGTTCATTACGCTTTACAGTGATCTATAGCTTCTATTGTGTTATCCGTCACCCTGATATAAAATCTACGTCTCTACTACTTAAGAGAAATTACGAGTTTTAAAGAAAACCAAACAAAATGATCGGACAGCATTTGTTTCAATAACTAACTTACGTAGAAAGGTAAGACCACCCGTGTGTTACAATAGTAAGCAATACTATCTGTTTATTAGTTTATTGTTACTGTTGGTCTATTGGTTTAGTGGTTAGTGACCCTGACTGGTAAGCCAAAGATCATGGGTTCGATAAACAACCAGAAAAAAAAAATGAGTTGAAAATGTTCATTTCTTCTGTGTCTGTGTGTCATTTATCCATAATATGTATGAATTTAGAAATATTTAAGTACTCGTATGTTTATCATCAGTTTAGGTAAGATATCAGAGGTCTTTCTTGTTTGGGATCAGACTGAAATACAGACTGATGTGTAAAGTTATCATTATTATTACTTTTGGATTATTATGGACTGTAGTATAGTCCCAGAGACGTAACTTGTCATATTTTTAGCAGTTTATTGAAGTTTTATATTTATATTGATTATTACCATTTATGACACTTTAAAATTGGTGGCCTAACACAACTACTTCAGGGACAACTACCTAGGACCTAGGCCTAGGACAACTAGTCCATCAGCAGGTTTCTGATTTCAAATCTTTCATTTGAAATGAGCTTCCCCTAAAACTAGCATTTAGAAATCATGTACAAGTTAATTTCAAAGCATATTTAAATTTGAGATAACTAGTGCCAGCTTCTAAATAAAATATACATTGTTATTACTTTTTGTCATACCTTCATCTCTATTTAAGGCCAAACGGGTCCCACAAACACAGTCGACTTCAGTTTGTCGTATATCCAATGTCGACTCTCCTGGGGAATCAAATCATTGTCGAATAGGACAACGGAAGATGGTAAATTAAGGTAAGGAAAACAAATAAATCAAGGCAGCTATGGTTGAGAATATCAAAGTCTTAAATGGGAAAATACTGACTGAAGTAAAAACGAGATCAAATGGTCATCAGTTAAACATAATATTAAAAAGCAAAATTAAAACATTACACAAACCAAAACAATAAATCGAGAAGAAAAGCTACTAATCTTAGATCGGCTAAACATATTCTCTTGAATTACAGCTGCACAACAAAAACCTAAATCGAAATTGTGTTCTTTTTAAATCTATAATGCTGCAGTTAGAAAAGCTGTTACACATATTACCTACTCACCTTAAACCTGAAACATTGCGTTTTTTTAAGTTGGGGATTAAAAAATAGTTATATGATGATGATGATATTCAGGTTTATAATTTAAATGCTTTCTAAATTTGTTAACCATCACACTGGTGGTGTAGAGGTCGTGTTTTATGTTTTTATTAATTAAAAAACCTTTTACCATATTTGCATGGTCACTTGCGCATATATTTGCCCAAAAGTAAATTTATTAGCATACAATATAAACAATACAAATGTTTTAGCGAGGCACTTTTGCACAACTCGTAAATTGTTTAATCGTTCGTTTGCTAAACAAACATTCATTACTTGGTGTGAATGCCAAAACAATTCGTTTTCAGTATTATCTGTTTGACCCATTTTCAATTTAAAGCAATCAATTTTGGTAATAAATTATATCTCACGATTTACTTATCTTTGAATAAAAGTTGTTTCAATCATTATTGAGTATGAATGCGCAATCCAATGTTTATTGAAATATTTTCTTCTTTATAAATGTGTACTACTCACCTGTCATATTGTTTTAAGGGTTGTTGGTCTCAAGGTCATTCAATATATATACTTATACATATTACAAATGTATATACATGTATGTCATTATTGCATATACAATTTTAAGAGTCTGAAAAAGAAATCCGGTAAATGATAAATTTCGGGGACAGAACAAAGACTGTCAAGTCATTTCTCACTTACAAATTGACCTTCAATGTGGATCAAAAAATCTTCCATGTGGTTGCAATTAGCGTAGCGAACACCAAAACTATTTCTGCAACCATCCGGTCAGTCCACTTTGCCGTCCTTGCAATTTATAGAAAGTGGCAGATATTTTCCCGTGACAATAACCTAGAAAAAAAAAACAAATAAAAAGAAAAAATGTAGAAGAAAAATAATCAATTAAAATATTTATTAGGCATTTTTTTACTTCTTTTATTTTAATATATCAGATATTTAAATAAAAAAGGGGCTTAAATATTTTTTCTCAATTGTATGAATATATTGTATTTTATATTCGTATAAAAAATTACTAATAAACCTGAAAATAGTAGTAAACGTAGGTTTTCTGGTACTGACAAGCTACAACCACAGAATATTATTATTAGATTAAATAACTTCATCATCATTCATCATCCATCATCAATCATCATCAATCAAAATCCACTGGTCCCCACACAGGCTTCTCCTTAGAATAGAGGTTTTGGGCCCCAATATCACGCTGACATAGGGTTTGCGTCAAGTTTTCGTTCTTTTGCAGTGCTGCTGTCCTGCGTAGTTTGCTCCCATAGTCGGCTCTTACATTCAGTATTTGTTACTTTCGATAGCTGTATTTCTGGTGGAAATAAATAACGAGACTAATGAACTTGGTAACTGTTATATTGTAAAGTAACTTACAATAATTATAATAGAGTGCATTGCGCACACGACGCTTTCCAACAAGAAAAGGGTCGATCAAGATGACGATCGGTGAATCGTAGGGAGGCGCCCTATGATTGATGCATAGTAAAGGGAAACCGCAACAGTCATCTTAATCCGTCACCAAACGGATAGTAACTAATTTGATTGCAATTCATTTGTTTTAACCTTTATTTTCAAATTGATCTTTACCAATAAGGAGATGCAAAAACACTTCGTTGAATGATTTTTTTGGTAAAGAGAGCAAACGGGTCGCCTGATACTAACTGGTTACTGCCATCTATGGCCATGGACACTACAACTCAAGAACCACAAGATCGTTGCCGCCCTTTGAGTGTCTATAACCCCTTTTCTCGATTTCTCTATAACCCGCTTTTATAAAATTTGAATACACGCCGATTTATTGCCATTATTCTCCCTCCACTCTTCTGTTCCAACAATATTCCTCCAATCGCTATTTAAGCTGCTGAAATCAACAACAATCTCAAAATCAGAGTCAAAGTATTAAACTCGACCATTCTCTGTCATTACTGGTTGTAGAAAAATTATCCCATTCCCTTTCTAAATGAGATCGTGA